TTTTTATATCGTCATCCGATATATATCGTTATATCGAACAGCCCTAGCTGCAGGTACATTTCTTGTCCCTACTCATTTTATCTAAGCTAATCTAAGCGGTCTTCTCACCTCTCAAATATGCATATTTCCCAAAATAGATGTGATGTAAATAAGCATGACTCTCACCAAGAACAAGTGTGGTCTGAAGGGAGAAAAGTGGATTGAGGTGACATCGACAGGCTGCACTTCAACCTCCTGAAACCTGTAAAATTTGGGGGGTGCTTTCAAACCGTGACTCGTTCCATGGTGGACCAGCCCCTACACACAGGTCACATTAGTACACTTTCACTAAATATTACAGGAGTATATATTTTTTTAATATTTGAGAGGATTCATTTGAAATTACATGAATTAAGCTCACCATGTTGGTGCCAATAAAGAAATGATTGGAGTCTGTTGGAAGGAATTTTAAAAGCAGCGTGTGCAGTGGCCCTGTTTTAACTACATCTCGCGGTGACCCCCTGAGACTTTGGAAAGAGGCATAGAGGGGGGGGGGAAATAAAACAATAGGTCAGAAGTTAGATTACTCCCAAACAAACAACAACGGAACAAACTGGAAGACAACACTGCATCACATCGGTGGGCCATATGGGGAAGTTGCTGTATGTATGTGCAAGAGATTGGCAAGAGACAATAAAGTAAATACTTCAGTTAAGACAGAGTGATGTCTGAGGTTTTCCTCACCACACCTCTCTGTGTAACACATGTATAAGAGCGCAGGTATGTTTCCATCAAATGTTGAGGTGACAAAATCAAGAGCATGCAGCATGTAACAAACAGGATCGAGTGGCCACAACATAACAGCTGTGTTCCACTGGGCCAAGACTCTGCGGTGTATTTTAAGCCCTGTGGCTGCCAGTGACAGATGATCGTCATGAGCCATTTATCAATCTCACCTCTCAGCAGCGATGACGGACGAGCTGTGAAGCAACTTCACTTTGCCGCCAGGCCGGAGGCCTGCAAGAGGGGAGAGGGGAAAAAAAAAGAAAGAAGCGGGTCTAAAAGCAATGCCACATGTGTGAGAAAGGTGAGCCCACTCAAAGAAATACTGTGACTGCGTTACCCAGATCTGTTGGAGAGCCTGCCTCGTTGCCTTTTGGGAGCTCTACCACCACCTAAAGGACACATGGGAGAAATCATGACAGGCAATTCACATTATTACAGTGCAGCTGTCCCCAAACTTCAGAAACCGATCCCCCTACCACTGAGTTAAAATGATAGGAAACAAGTGGTAAAAAAGCTGAATTTTAGTGAACTGAAGATAAGAAACAATAGGAACAACAAAAACTATTTTCCCCGCAAAAATCTCATTAATTACACTTAGTTTAGCACATGTTTTCTTTTGGTCATTGTACCACCCATCTGCCCTGCAGTGACTCTTTCATGAGTATAAAACAGATGTAGAATCATTGGAACAATGAATACTTATGGACATAGTGGATATCCTGGAGGAATGCAAGTCACAATGAATCTAAAATAACATCAGTAATCCTCAGTGGGCTTTCCAAACTTTCCAATTCATGTATCTCTCTCCATGACCTCTCTAATAAAATCCACTCCCAACTCCTGCTCCTTGTAAAGAAAAAAAAAACATACATGTAAAATATGTACAATCTACTTAGCTGCTCAACCTACCCAAAAATTTAAAACTCCACTTTCATCCAAAGAAGCCAGCTGGAATGACAGTCCTGATGACTCTACAATTGGAAAAGAACACCATTTAATTAAATAAACAGTACTGTGCAAAAGTCTCAGAACACTCTCCATTTCTGTATGTCTTGCTTCCAAGAAGCCACACTTTGTTGTAATGTTTTTAAAGTGCAATAGGCTCCCGGTTTTTCTGAAGGACAGCTTTTCTTTGGATATTGGCTGCTTTCTCACTCATTTTCAGTCCAGTACTTGTCCCAGTACTGACCTTTTTCAGAGGATTTTCTTTTGCTTGCTTAGCCAGTTAGCACTGACCTATGAATCATAGAAGCATAAAAAGGCTCCGAACTCAATGGATCAACTGGCCTTGTGTCTACACATAACAGACAACTTAGCAAAGAACCATTTTTAATTGTTAATTAGTTACTTTGTTAGTAGCTACCTGTCAGAAAAACATGTAGTGTCCCCATTTCTCTAGCCGAATCTATGAAAAATTCTTAAGATAACACAGTTTGACAGGTATAACGTAGTATTTTTCCACCAACAAAGTAATCAATAAGGTGATTGCTGTAGCTTCATTAGAAATGGTCTAAGCAAAGCTGCTGTCAAGAAGCCATTCTTAAGGAAGAGAAACATGGATACATGGCTGGGGTGTGCCTTGTCTCTGAGTGAATATTCA